GGGGCGGGCGGGGGGGCGGGGGCGAGGCCCGCAGGGAGGGGGCAGCCGCGGTGCCGGGCGGCAGGGACTGGCAGGAGCGGGCCCGGCGGAGGGAGAGGCCGGCGCGGCGCTGGGGGAAGCGAAGGCCTCGCACCGGCCGCGCAGCGGGGAGCTCGGTGCTGCGCGGCGTCTCCGGGGGCATTGCTGTGGCGTCTGCCGGAACCGCTCGTATCGAGCGGTACGAGCACAGCATCGCTGTGCTGCCGTCGGCGTCCGGACGTCGCGACTGCCGTCCGCGCTGGTCGGCGGGAGAACCGCGCTTGTGCGGTAGCCTGGGAGTTGGGAGTCGGGTTTTAGGTTGTGGTTTAGGAAAGGTTTCTCAAAGCGCCCGGTCTAAAGTACCGAAGTTCTGTAGAAAATGCTACTGAGACATAGTGCATCTAATGCTGAGGCCTGCTGAAGCAAATAACTGGACTGGCAAGTAATTTGGGTGCGGATCATTGGGATAAAATAGGGATGAGAGCCCTTTCAGGCTCTCACATCTCATACAGATAGTTCTGTCATAAATAGAAGTATGCTCTACAGATCTACAAAAGGAGGGTTTGGGTTTTGGATATCCCAGTGCAGTCGTCTCGCTGTACAGAATCTCCTGGGAAATGACGGCTAAGTAAATAGACTGATTGAATCCTCAGGTGCTCTCCTGGGAATTAGTTTATACTTTAAATTGAATTGTGTAGCTAACGACAAACCAACCTGCTAACTCTGCCTGTTAGTCTAGGCGAGATTGTTAGCCAAACTATGCAAGAAGGAATGGGGCAGAGTATTGGTCTCTGCCTGTTTGACTCGCTTACACACGCAGGAAGCGCGTAGCTACTTGAGGACAGACGCTTTTAAAGTACGATGCTGGATACAGCTGTTCAGGCTGCGCCTAGAACACAGAGCAGCAGTGGATGCAAGTGGTAATTTGAGCTTTCCTCAGAAAAATTCAGCTGTTTCGGAATGCCTTGTACGAGATCAGTTTGATCAGTAGAACAAAATTCCAAACTTCAAATTTTTTAAATTATCTACTAAAATTTTTAATTGTCAGAGCTGTGTAATGAAATACAAAAGCATCACTGTTGAAGAACACCGAACCGAAGAATTACTCGATATGTTAACATAAACCGTGATAATGTCTTTCACAGAAACAAAGCTTATGCAAAATACTTTACCTTCCCAGGTTTTTCAGTTCTTGAATGCAAAATGTGAGTCTGCATTCCTTTCCAAGAGAAACCCCCGTCAAATCAACTGGACTGTTCTGTATAGGCGTAAACACAAGAAAGGACAGTCAGTAAGTATAAACCAACTAATGGCGCTCTAAAGTTTTCTACCAGAAGATGTGGTCACTGGTTTGTTAGAATAGTGGTAACTGCAGTATGCTGGTGTTTAGCAGAATCGTGACCCATAGAACCAGGATGAAGACGGGCCAATAATGGCGAAAATGTGAGTGCATTTACACGAGTTTATGTGCTGCTTTATGTTTGAAAGGTAACCATTTCAGCGGAAGTATTGTATTTGGAGCGTATCACTTCTTTGAGGGACCACTCGGAACCACAGTAGGTTCAGTAGATTTTAACAACTGTATGAATGGCATATGTTTTTAAAAAATCAGTTTTAGAGAAGGTGGGTAATGCTGTTTAATATGCAGACTTTCTAAAAGTTTGGACTTGTAAACTTAGAGAGTTGATTTGGGGGTTAAAGGGTCGGGGAACTTTTCACGTACCCCTCTTGAAGACTTCGGGCTGTAACTTAGTAGGAGGTCTTTCCTATGTAGTTGTCATTGCATGAAAAAGATAAATTAATAAGGCATGTAGCATGAGGTATTTTCAGTGCTCTTGCTTAACCTTGCACAGCAAAAGAGTATTTAGAAAGGCTGACGTATGTGTTCTAAGTCAGTGTTTTTACCAGTTTGTTTGGGGAAGGAAAGTTGGTGCTCGATGGCTTACGCTGCTGCCCAGCACCGTGATCCCACTTGAAGCAGGTGGGAAGTGTCTTCCTTTCAGAAGATTCCATCAAAGTGGACTTTATCCCTCCCTCCTTTTCTTTTTTTCCTGGGAGTTACAGAAGCCCCAACTTCTGACATTCTCCAAAATAATTATTTTAATACCTTGCAGAGGAGAATACGTTGTCCTTTTTTAGCTATTCATCTGCTTTGGCAAATCAAGAAATCAGTTTTCCAAAGTGAGGAGTAAAATTCTACTTCTGTATACAGTTTTATAATAGTTTCAATCTTAATAGCAGCTTGTTTCTATAATTGTCTTTAGCCTTTTATTTAATGTCTTGTGATACTAATTGACTTCATCTCCTGCCATTTTAGGAAGAGATACAAAAGAAGCGCACGCGTCGTGCTGTTAAGTTTCAGAGGGCCATCACTGGTGCATCTTTAGCTGAGATTATGGCTAAACGAAATCAGAAGCCTGAAGTACGAAAGGCGCAGAGGGAACAAGCTATTAGGTGAGAAATCAGAGATAAGTGGAGCTGTCTTAGCCTTTTCAAAGATTATTAATGCTTTTCATACAAGAGCTTAAACTCTAGATGAGCTCCATGTTTTATAAGCATTTTTGAGAGTTTGAGGTTTGTTTGTTTGTTTTTTTTATGAGTATATTTGGAGGTAATGCTGAGTAATCTCAGCAAGAGATAGTAGCAGCAGACAAAGGTCTCTTTTTGCCCTCTCACTTTGTGAAAACACCACTTTTGTCACACACAGTTCTGCTGTCTCTGTAGTAGTCTCCCCTAGAGGGTACTGAATGCAGATGATAAACCTGAAATAACACGTTTCTTTCTTGATCTTAGAGAGTTCTTACAGTGCTGAGACAAACAGTGAATGGCGGACACAGATAACTGTTACTCTCTTCCTGTGAATTAACAGGGCCGCAAAAGAAGCCAAGAAGGCTAAGCAAGCAACCAAGAAAACGGCTGTTTCTGCTGCAAAGGTAAGATGGATAGAAGTAATGAAATGGAATATGCTGTGTTGGAACACAACATTCCGTTGCAGCGCTTAATTGGAAATTCACATTTGTGTTTGGAAGAAGCATTTGCTTATCTGTTTTGATCTGGAAGCACCTTGGCCAAACTTTTGTACTAAAGTTAAACATACCCAAACAGCTGAATAGAATGAGCCTTTTTTACAGAAGAAATAAATACTACAGTAAGACAACTTTCTGACCATGTGTCAGAGATCCTCGATAGCTAAAAACTTGTCTGGATCTGACACGTTCACTGTCTAGGAACTTGGTAACAATATATTGATGAATGCTAGCATCTATTTCATTGTTACTTATGAATTAATATGATATGTTGGCATCATACATGTTAGAGGCTTACAGTGGTACGTGTGTAACAATCGGTTAACATGATTCTAATCTGATAGATTGTAATTCTAATCTGATCTGATTTAAATTGCCTGATTTCTGTCAAGAATCTTAAATACACAGGGATGCTTTCAGGACTGCAGATGAATTGCTCCTCTTCACTCATACTTCATTATTTTCTACAGGCTCCTACAAAGGCAGCACCTAAGCAGAAGATTGTGAAACCAGTCAAGGTTTCTGCTCCCCGTGTTGGTGGAAAGCGCTAACTTGCCAAACTGTTAGTGATGCTGAATAAACACCTGACTAACCTTCATAACTTGTGCCATGTTCTCTTCAACTGTGTGAGATATACTGAAGAGAATTAATCTATGAAATAACCATGTCTGGTTTTGCAGACTGAAAAACATCTTGCCAGAAAACATTTGGTTTCTTAGACACTCTCCTGTATTAGCACACATTTCGTAAGTCTTTAATAAATGACCCAGGTGGCTGGGAAGATGGCAATGTTGAGAAGCTGATGGTTGAGAAGCTGTTCTTACCTGAAGGACAAAACAGCACGAGTATAACTTTATTCCACATCTATGTCAGATGGCATAAAAAGAGGTTTCTAAGTTCAGAGATGCAAACTAAAGGGTGTGTGAAGCAGTACCGTCTGTAAGGGACTTAAAAACGCTGAAACACTTCTTGTGTCGTGGAACGCATGTAGCAAAATGTTGTAGAAGATAAACAGAGAAACAGGTTGAAAAAAGGGACCGGATGGTTTCACAGACCGCGTGGCCATGACAAGCTAAGGTTCAGATGCAACTCCTGGGTCAGGAAGTTAAAAAAAAATTTAAAAAAATTGATTGCTGGAAGCCGTTGTTAGGAAAAGGATGGCTGTGAAGGTCCTGCCTTCCACTCACCCACTAAACTAAATGGGTTTCTTGACCCAGCACGGCCATTCTGCAATTATTATCTAATTATCAGCACTTGCAACACTGGTAACAGGTTGAATGAGCTTCAAATGCAGCTGATGGTATACATTTACTTCAAGCCTGTTTAGGTTCATGTTTAACCTCCAGAATGCAGGTAGGGGTTCCCTTTGTAATTCCCCACCCTCCTACCCCCAGAGGGAGTGGCCATTTGTTAAATTCTTTATGTGAAGTATACGTCTGTCTACTTTAGTCATTACACTACATAGACAGCATGCCCAAACTTTGCTGTAGTTTTGATGGACTAATAGCCTCAGCAAAGCAACGTCCTCTGACTTACTAGAAGCATAGCAGAAAACAAACCTATATTTTCTGGATCAGATACTTCTCAATTTATTGATGCCACATCTTAATGCCTGTTAGTTTTGCTATCCTACCACATTAGTCAAGAGAGCAGCTGACTTCTCATCGTTTTGCTTCCTATGGTTATTTTGGGCTTCAAAAACACAATGGCTGTAATGGGCACTTCAGGTTATTGGTTATATTTTGAGTTGCATCATGCTTTACTTTGGGTTTATTAATAAAATAGATACAGGTCTGGATGAAAGTTGCAAGTCATTTAAAATAGGTCTAGCTTGATTACATGAGTAGAATTTGCACCATTATCTTCCAAACAATTAAGCTTTTTACTGTAAAAAAAAAAAAAAGCCCAACCATAGGAGATACTCGAGTTTAGAATTAAATTGAAGGCTTTTAAACTGGATAACACACTTGAAAGTCAAGGAGCCAGAAACTGGAAAGGAAAAGAGGGGAAGGAAAACTGCTTGTTATAAGGGAAAGGAATTTTGTACCATTTAAAACTGAAGGCCGAAAACACCACTGAAAGTTACCTGTGCTAGTGACAACTATATAAAATCCTGATTCTATCAGTGTCTTGTATAAAGTGCCTGGTACACTACCCGTAAGTGGAAGTCTTCAGCTAAAAAGCTGAAAGTGAAGATGAGCTTTTACAATCTGCTTGAAATACTGTTAATGATATATAGGAACTGATTATCAGACACGACTAATCAGGAAGTCAGTATTTGTTAATGCTGTGAAGTTTGCAGGCTTTGGCTGCCTGGTGTTACTGCGGAGGTGCACAGAAATGCTTTACGATTACTCTTCCTTGCTGTTTATTCATGAGTTCTGACTGATGCGGTGAGATGGAGTAAAGAGTAACAGCCCATCAGGTTATTCCTCTCACAAGCTATGCTTCAAGTGAACGAGGCAAGCAGTTGAGAGCAGGGCATTAACCTGGTGCATTAACTGCACATTATTCAGCTCAAACACAGATATAATGCAATGAATTAACACAGCAATTAATAAAGTCCTTGTGCTTACCTAATGCAACATAATTGATCCTCTATTAAATATTTATCATGAAAAATTGAATACTTATATTTTTCATAGACCCACAGAATAATTTAGGTTGAAAAAGACCTCCAGAGGTCATCTAGTCCAACCCCTTCCTCAAAGCATGTCTATTTAGATCAGGTTGCTCAGCTGAGTATCCAGCTGAGTTTTGAACAACTCCAAAGACAGAAGTTCCACAACCTCTTAGGGCAACCTGTGCCAGCATTTGAGCACCACCGTGGTTTAAAAAAAGATTAAAAAAATCCATATATATAGCTAGAATTTCCTGTGTTCTAACCTGTGCCTGTTGACTATTGCTATGCAACTCTGACAAGAGTTTGCCTCCATCTTCTCTCTGTCTCTTGGTGACGTAGCTGTGGGCAGCAGCAACGTCCTCACAAAGCCTTCCCTTTTTAATGCTGAAAAAGCCCGTCTCTCAGCCTCGCCTTGTCCCTCATGCTCTGATCCCTGACCATCTTTGCGGTCTTCTGCCGGACTCACTCCATCCAGTCAGTATCTTTGTATTTGGGGGGATCACAGTACTCCAGATGCCGTCTTGCAAGTACTGAGCGCAGGGGGAGGCTCGCTGCTGGCTGTGCTGCTGCCTGGGCGCGGGCATCCTGCAGCTCCTGCGCTTCGTGTCTCTGTCACAGGTGTAAAACAAAACCAGGTCAGAACTCGGACAAGGAAAACCAGCAGTTGACGTTCAAAAGATTTCCTTTCCTTTTAAAAATAAAAAAGAGCGCGCTCAACGCACCGAGATGCAGCCGCCGCGCCACCCGCTCGCGCTGGTGCCGCTGTCCCCGGTTGCGCTGCTCCTGACAGGCACGCTCACACCGTAACATGAAATCACGCCGCCAATGTTCTCGTAGCTCCTACTCCCGAGGCAAGCTTGAAGCGGAGGCTACTCGTTCCGGAGCTAGGGCTATAAAGCTATTTATTGAGAGGCGTCCCGTGCTCCCAGCGCCACGACCGCGCCCGCCCTCACAGGCTTTGCCCGGCTCTAAGATGGCCGCCCCCAGCCTTCCGCCCGCCCCCTCCTTTGCCCGTTCCCAAGATGGCGGCTTTGTTCCCCCCTGCGAGCTGCGCCTTCCCTGAGCACACGCCCCTCCTCCCGCCCCCTCCCATGCGCGCGGGCTTCTGACCTCACTTCCTCTTGTGCAGCAGCCATTTTGTCTTTCCGTTGCTGCTGCTGCCCGAGCTTCTCCCTCCCACCCGCCGCCCCTGGCCG